CTGGTTGCGGGTAGATTCGTGGTGGAGGGTGGGGGGGGGGCACACATTTCTTATCTGCCTCACGCAGGCCACTCGCTATCTGCAGCCTTCAGCCGGCCGGCTGGTAGGCTGGGTTCACACCGAGCCGCAACATTATGCATGGGGCTTCACTGCGAAAGTATCTGTGGAGAAACATTAATTCTAATTGTGGAATGAATATGTAATTTCAAGGAGATAACCGTACCGTACTACGAAATAATTTATATAAACAATAAAAAAAACTCCGTGATTTTAGTCCGCAAGCGAACTATACCGACTGAGCGACCTCCGCTTGTCGGCGAAGTTAGTGCCAACTTTAGCGGATAGAGGCTGTCGCGTGGTCAGCGCAACGAATGTCTGAAGTAGCTCCTCAAATATCCTCACGAGTCTGAGTGGACCCCGTTCCAGACACACTACTTCTCAGAAAAAAAAATGTGGTAGCGCCGGGAATCGAACTCGGACCTCTGGCCAGGAACGCTGACCACTAGACCACAGAATAATTTATATAACGAGAAGGAATTATGTCCATAAGTGGTACAGCAGTCCTTTCTGTAATCTCGGTTAGTTCAGGCAACAATAGATTTCTATGTGTAACAAAATAACACAAGCCTTGAGCGAATCCATTTGGAAGTGCATTGCAAAACTCACCTGGGAAAAGTGTCAATTCTCATATTACAGTAAGGAGCCTGCTCTCCATAGAGAGGATGCCGATAATTCACGCGTAATTATCGATTCTAAAGTGAATAGGAACTGCTAGAATTTTGGAAACTGTTCATCGTCCGCCGTTTTACAATACACAAAGTCTAGGAAAACGGATCTGCTGCCGGCCTCAGCTGAAAGGATGGGTCTATTAGGAAGAGATTTAGTGCTTGAAGTTGGCTCTTTCTAAGGGCCTGAACAGGGTAGATGCCTTCCACTCTTTCACCTGTGGAAGGAAACAGACACAGTTTCCGAAACGTTGTGTTCCTTAGAATACTGGAAGATGGATAATGTTGAGAACACTTGTTGTTGTTATTGGAGGGGGTGGGTTTCCCCATGCACCGCGACCAGTTTTGATCTATTGCGTGTCCCCCTATGATCTTCTACCAGCCTCTATACCCTACCGGTACTGGTGCTTAACATCAGTCCCTACTCAGCCAGCGAGGTCGGCCTCTACTGGCTCTCGATGATTCGCCCATCTACCAGAGGCGTTAGAGACTACTGTTGGACGGGAAATGTCCTTAATTTAGCTCAATGGCCTCCTTTGGAGACATGAGGTTCTTTTACGTACCGTAAAGCTACGACACGGAACCCACGGCTTAAAGTCCCTCCCGGAGGACTTGTTCCCTGAATTTTTCCACGACCTCCGCCGGGTTTGAACCCGCGTACCTTGAGTCATGAGCTGGGAACGTTACCCCTAGACTACGGAGGCAGCTTCGAGAACACCCGTAATCACACGTCAATGGCTTACATTGGCTTATCCGTCACTCCTTTAAGCAGCCGTTTACTTCGGCAATTTACTTGCGTTTACTCACTGTCGGATTGTAATCTGACTTGCCGTTTTGTTGGTTGAACTCTCAGAATTTGTAATAAATCTTCTATCTGCAGTATCATCAAATTTTCCTTCAGCATACAAATAATGTTCTTTGAAGTTTCTTGCATGGCCAATATCTTTAGACCAAATGCTAGGTGCCACTGAACCGAAATTATTTTTCAGTAACATTTTGAATGATACAATTTGTGTACCGACAAAATTTTTCGAAGCAGCCTCTTACTTCCACAGTGACTATGTTCTTCGCAGAGTGACTCACTCTCTGCGAACTTTACGTTTAAATTTATTGATTTGACGACGTCGACAGCCCAGAATTTAATAAGTTAGGACTCTAGGATACAGGCATACCCGAGCCAGATTAGCATATTTTTCCTTCGTTGACTTCGGCGTGGGGCTACTCTGGTCCTAGGACAACTGTGAAGTACCGAGACCTTGTCTTAAGCGATAAGCGTCAAGGAATATAAGCACAGTGCTCTAGTGACCTCGCCCCAGTCCCTCTTGAGTGTGTGACGAGCTTTCTCTGCACCTGAAATGCCAAGTAAGCATTTTATTTACTTTTTGCCTATTTCGCGACAGTTTCACTTCTTAAATCAGATTAATAATTGGATTATTAGCGAATAACCTAATGTAGAGGACGTGAGAGGAATTTGTGGTGTCCTAATGTAGGGTATTATCCTAGAATTCGTCTAGAAGGACTGAGGAAAATATGAATCTGTAAAACTGGTGTATGGGTCGCTATTTGAGGGCGATATCCCCTATCAAGAGGGGTAGAAACAAACAGTGTGCCATGAGTTTAAGCCCAGAAAGTCTAAGAACAACCTGCCTTGAGCTTCACTGGAAGGTAAAGTCAATAGATCATTTCATGATACTGAACAAGCACACAGAGTGTCCCAGCACGTACCTACATACCCAACACACTAAACATTAAACAATAACCACCACATTCGAGCAATGAATGTTCGTTATTCACACGCGCTGACCACAACATCAAACAGACCCAAAACCATCAAGGAATATGCATATGGCTACAACTCTACACAAAAATATAACTGAAATGCGGCAAGAAAGGACACAGAAGAAAGTACATATTCAAATAGAAGCCAGCCAGTTAAAATAAACTGTTTCGGCTTTTCCATTTTAAGTTTTATACATAGAGAAGCGAACGAGACAGTGTAGAAGTGTGACGAACATACATGCCTGATGGCTTCTTGCAGCAGAACATGCCGTAAAACGTGTGTGAAATATAGATTAAGCTACGTTTAAGTAAACTTCTACTAAGTTTTGTTTATTACCAATTGTTTTCAAATTCACTTTAGGATACGGCATATCCGACATGCCCTTAAGAAGGCCGAATAACGTAGAATACTTTGTAATCATGAGGGTGTAAAATTAAACACAAAAAAAATCACATTTTGGACTATGATAACAGGTCCAATTCATTATGCGAATTAAATTAGATACGTGTAGTTGATCCAGAAATGAAGGAATAGAAACCACGTACAGGCTCAGTTGTCACTAGAACACAAGACAGAATTGTAACGAAGCAAAAAAGAAAATAAACCGTTCGAATATTTATAAGATTTGAGTTTATCACGGCTTCCTTCGTTCGAAAATATGTCAAGTCTGAAGTATCTGTGAAGGAAAAAAGCAAATCAGGATCACAGAAACGGTGAAGATATGATCAGACTAAATTTGAAGAGATACGAACCGCCATTCAGTTCATAAAATTTTAAATTTAACGACTGAAATATAGGAAACTGCTTTTAGGTTCACCTGTTGTTTCACGACGATGCGGAACTCTGGTTCTCATTCTACGTGAAGGGTGCAGATGGGGTGTTTCTGGGGACAAGATCATATGTTTGCGTCCCCTCTAAATGAATGAAATTCAATAAACATGACTATTATTTGGAGCAATATATAACCCCTTCAACATTTTAAACACAGCGTTTCGGGTACTGGATCTCTTTCCATCTTCAAGTTGAAGGGAAGCTGTTAGACCCGTCACAGCACTCACGCACGACAGCCAGTAACTGTTCAACGGACCCGAATTAGCTGCTTGTGGTGTTCAACATGCCATGCAGGTCGTCTTTTGTCAGGGAACTGCCAAAAATTATGGCCAATTTGAAGGATTTACAGGGTTTGCGGTAGAGCTTCAGAAGCACTGATGAAAATGTTATCAAAATGTTCAGAGAATTATAAGGGGGCTTGTTACGTAACATATAATCATACAGTGTAGCATACGAGCGGTATGTGGCGGCCATTTCTTTTAGAATAACACGTCGAATGATAATGAATGCATCTACCTCTAAGCCCAGCACAAAATTGTTTCCTTATTAGAGGACATAACAGTTGCATGAAACTTATTTCATACCAATACCAAATTTCACTGCTTCCGCCGTCTCACGTGCAATACATCTTTCTATATAACTTATTAAAATTTACTCACTTTAAATGTTTTGCGCATCATATAACTTTAAACTTTTTAAAAGTTTTCACTACATATTTCGACTAATACGGTTATCATCAAGTGTTTTAAACTTATAGATGAGAAGAATGTTATGTTCCTGTTATTGTGGCTTTGGTTATTAATGTTTTAATTGTATGGTTTCTTCTATGCGCAAATGTATCTGTAATACGTATAAATATTTACTTTCAGAATTTATGTATATTTTGTGTGTTAATATATCGCATGATTTCTTGTTCCTGTGCCTTATCCAAGTGACGGGTTGATCTTTCGATTGTGTTGTGCTGTGTGTCTGTTTTACGAACGCTTGCTGAGCTGAATTTATTTTTCTATGTGTCGCTGTCTGGTGTTTAATTCTTATAATACTTCAGATATCGAGTCAGTATACATGTGTCATTCACGTTAAATCTGTTCTTACACATTTTATATTGTAATGTGCATGGACACAGCGTTGCCAGGTAACTGATCGTTAAACATATCGCGACCGAATACAAGCAAGACAACAATGGGAGTGCAGTCGGTTCCATGACAGCTGCTATGCGATCCTTCTGAAAACACGTTCCAACAATATAAGCTGTTTTCTGCGTGGTCGGTGCGGAGGCTATATAAAGACAGCTAGAGACAGAACAGATTTCAGAGCACCCGTCTGGAGGCGGGGTAGAATACCTCCACCGTGACCCTGCGAGTCGTAGGAGGCGACGCAAAGGGAAGTCTCAAATCTGAGACAGTAAAATATGCTCGCGAGTCCCAAGGGACTCGGACCTGAGAAAGACTGCGCTGGCAAGGGCGAGTAGCATGTAAAAAAAGACAGACCCGTCCTCTCGTCAGAGTGGTCGCCCCACAAATAACAAAACCATAATGTTCAACAGTAATAAATATGTGACACCAAGACTTACTGACTGACTGAACGTCAGTCGCAATGACTTGGACTTGGACTTGGAACAGATTTCAGTACTGGGGAGTGTTTGAGAGTGTCTAAGTGATTACGTGACAGTGAGAGCCACGGGAAGTTCGTCGTGTGAAGACTTGGCTTGTGGCTGGAAGATTTGAATTATGTGTAATACTTGGAGTGGTTTGAAGCTCTAGTTTCTCTGTGGAGATCCGTTGCTAGGAGACGTCTATTGGAAGACAGAGGATCCTAGTGAGTGTGTAACGGTGAATTCTATTATGAAGTTTGTAAATCACAGATAGCGCTGTAATTTGAGTGTAATTAAAAGAGTGTGTAAGTAGGCTGTTAATAAATCCAATCATCCGAGCTAGAACACGTCATTTCATCAGCCGTATCCCCCTACACGTGACAATATGTATAATATTTTTCTAATGTGTTTAGATGTTGTCAAATTCCTGTATTTTACGACCTCCATTGTGTCAGTTATACTCCCATATGCGTGTCCTGTATTTAATATATTATTCGAATATGCTGTATTGCTATTGTTATTTCTGATGCCTGCCTGCGCCCTTTATGTGTAGTATGAAACCTTCTGCCCGACTGTTCTATGTATTTCAGTGGACAATCCGTACATTTCATTTGGTACACTCCACTTTTCTAGTACGTACTCATCGCTTTGCGGGTGGGACTTTACTACGTTTTGTATTGTGTTACTTCTTTTGAATGCTGCTTTTACTTGTACTTCTTTAAATGTTTTGTGATTGACTTATTTTCCTTCAAATACATGTAAAAATAACCCTTCAATTTTTGGCGTTGCAGACCTGTGTTTTGTTGTGTTTGTGTTGTTTTGAATGATGTGAAAAGTTTTTAAAGTGAATAACCTTTAATAAGAAGGAAGCAGTCTTCTGGGATTTGGTACCGTGTATATGTGGTGTTAACCGACGTTTCGGAGGAACGTATCGCCCCCATCTTCAGGGTAGAAGAAAAAAGTATAAGAAATCTTCAAGCGACAACACCGTGAGAAACGGTAAAGCAGTCTGCTTTACCGTTTCTCACGGTGTTGTCGCTTGAAGATTTCTTAAACTTTTTCTTCAACCCTGAAGATGGGGGCGATACGTTCCTCCGAAACGTCGGTTAACACCACATATACACGGTACCAAATCCCAGAAGACTGCTTTCTTCATAGTCACCGCCGTGAAAGCCTCAAATCTTACAACCTTTAATAAGTTTCATAGAAAGACTTGCTGCATATGAGACGGTGGAACCAGTAACCTTTCATGCAGAGCGATGCGCAGCAGGATGCTACAATACTGTCACGTGTCCGGGACTTCGTGACGAATAATAATGGGTAATGCAGTGAATGACTGGATTTATTGACAATCATACATTCACACAGTTCGGGACTACAGGCACTTATAACGCTATCGCTATGCTACACACTTTACAACTCACCGCTACACACACAACAGGATTCTCCGTCTTCACTAGTCGTATCCTGGCAACGGATTTATCACTCGAAATCCCTATGAAGTCTTCTTGCCATTTTTTTCACCATCATCTTGGGACGTCGGACCTCCATAACTCGGTCCAGTTCTCCAGTGTTAATTTTCTAACACACTCGAGCACGGACCTACAGAAATCGCGTGCCATATATTAGAATGCTGGCGTTGACCACACAGAAAACACCGCTTCCTCTATTGTTTACGAAAGCATTTCTACCGTGCTGTTGCCTACCAATAGAATTCCTATTCTTACGTGCACGTCTGTTGCGGGAATGTGTTTGCAAAGCCGTTGCGTAGCAATGGGTATGCATGTTAAAATATAATATCACAACTAAATAGCTAAGAAAAAGGTAAAGTTATCCCTGTGCTTAACTAATTAAGCACTACGCCATGAAGGCGTATGAGGGAGTGGATGTATGATCCAAGTATTCTTGACCTCCGCACTAGTTGCAGTTCTGTGGTCAGCTTCACGTTCCTGCCGCTTTACCTCCTGGGAAGGAGACCCCGGCACCCATTGGCTAGGAGACTGGGTGGACACCAGAACCGATATGGACGACATGCAAACAAGAAAAATATGCCCCTATCACTACTCGAACTCCGACCCCTCAGCCAACCCGTAGCCAGTCGCTATAGTGACTGTGCTATCCCGGCTTACGAACTAAATAGGACAAAAAAGAAAAATGTATCCTGTGTTTATTAAAAGTGTTCATAAATCGGAAGATGCGGTCTACAGCTGTGACAGTCTTTGCTTAAGAAGTAAGTCAAGAAGTTGTAGAGCGTAGGGTGTTGAATACGGAAGCGCGGTGGACACGTGACCTTATATCGCCTCTCCCCTTCATTTTGGGACAATTGACTGCGTGGCCAGCGCTAATTTTCATTCAAATCCTTCAATTAGCTCAACAGCTTTTAGCAGCTGACATAGGCACCCCTATGTCCTACAAGTGTTACGTGTTGCAGATCACCACTGGATACCGTGCGACAATGGAAAAGTGCCAATGGATGCCTTCATCTGTGGGATGGATAAGGACGGGAGCAGCCTGTACGTAGGGCGAGCATTCCATGAAGGTGATCTGTTGCCCGGAAAGATCGTGCCCAGCCACGGCTGCATCTACGTCTGCCGTAATGGCGCGGAGCACGGTGTGAAGCGCTATGAGGTAAGGCGTGACGGTACGCTTTACCCTATCCCACTTTCCCCACTGTTGCACAGGTTCCACAATTCTCCTAGAAATCTGGAGACCACTTCCTAGTAGCATGAGACGGAATGAAACACAAATTACTTCGGAAGAGAGATGTATTCGTGTTTAGTGATCTTTTTATTTTTAAATGTCTCTTCCAGCCAATTTAGAGCCCATTTACCCTATTTAGTTCCGTAATTATTTTTACACAGACGGTAGGACTCCTCAGACGAGTGATCAGCCAGCCGCAAGGCCTCTACCAAAACACAGAACAACACAAGCACAAAATAAATGCAGACATACCAAACATCCATGCCTTAAGTGGGATTCGAATTCGCGATTCAAGGGTCAGAGCGAGCGAAGACAGTTCATGATTTGGTTCGTGCGGCTATTGCGACCGGCTTAGGTGATCTTTACTAAACAAAATAAAGTTGTCACATCTCCCCGCCTGGTTCTCCTCTTTGAACTAATATCGGAGTGTAAACCAGTGCCAGTACAGAAGATTATTTTCTTCTTGTTCCCAAATTTCTCCTTAAATCTAAGATCTGTGTGTGCCACGGACATAGATCTGCGGATATATAGATCCATTCCCCCATACGCCTCCATAGCGTAGTGCTTAATTAGCTAAGCGCAGGGACTATTTTACCTTTTTAGTGCATGACAACTAAACTACCATAATAAAGCAGTGGATTTTAAATATGTTTCTCCATATTCCGTTTAAAATAGTTTTTCATACAAACAACACGCTCCCACACAGCAACTCGCGCCGTCCCAGGAGGACGTGCCACACTTTGGGAACTTCTGCCATAAGCATTCTCTATGGTGGCGAGAGTTCAGCTTAACACTGTGGTCGCTTTGTTTCCGGTATCCACTCCAGAGCAGGGGGAAGGGAGTTCCCCTACCTCTGCATTAAAATGGAATTTTTGTTGCCCGCCACGTTGCTGACTGAGCTACCCGTTTCATTTCTTGGTTCTAAGCATAAAGTTGCCGAGCTCCTCTGGAAGGTATAACATATGCTGCGGACAGAGAGGCTTTAATATAGGTCCATTAAAAATCGATCAGAAATTAAGTTTTCTTGCCGTGAAACTCATGCGTCACCACTGCAGAGTTCTCTTGCCGTGAAACTCATGCGTCACCACCGCGGAGTTCTCTTGCCGTGAAACTCATGCGTCACCACTGCAGAGTTCTCTTGCCGCGAAACTCATGCTTCACCACTGCAGAGTTCTCTTACCGTGAAACTCATGCTCCACCACGGCAGAGTTCTCTTGCCGTGAAACTCATGCTTCACTACTGCAGAGTTATCTTACCGTGAAACTCACGCGTCACCACTGCAGAGTTCTCTTGCCGTGAAACTCATGCGTCACCACAGCAGAGTACCCTTGCCGTGAAACATATGCGTCACCACTGCGGAGTTCTCTTGCCGTGAAACTCATGCGTCACACTGCGGAGTTCTCCTCTCTATATCCCTTTAATATTTCCAATAGGCAACGCATGAGGCTAATTCTCTTCTACGGCTGTTACACCGTGTCGTTGTGGCGCTCTTGCAGACATTTCGGAGGTACATGCTGCTTCATTCTTGTAGGGGATGCCCCTCTCTCACTCTTCTGCAAAAGCAAAATGCTATACAAACACAGCTATTCTCAAACCTATTCACTGAAACACTGAAAACGGAAGCAGAAGGTACCTCTGAAACTTCGGCAACATCGCCCACAACCACACAAATTAACAACACGAGAATGGAATTACAAATAAAAATCTTCGTGGCTTGTAGTCCGCAAGTGAACTATACCGACCGAGCGACCGCCGTTTGTCGGCGAAATTAGCGCCTACTTTAGCGGATAGTGGGTGTCGCGTGGTCAGTGCAACGGATCCCACGGCCGTTAGTTTCGTTTTTCTAGACCGGAGACGCTATTTCTTTGAAAAAGCTCCTCAATTATCCTCATGAGGCTGAGCTGACCCCGTTACAATCATACTGCTTCTCAGAAAATCTGGCAGCGTCGGGAATCGAACCTGGGACCTCTGGATCTGTAGCCAGGAGCTCTGACCGCTAGACCACATAGGCGGTACTGAAAACGGAACCAACATCGGCAATTAACCCCAGAGAAGCTTGTCCTTTATATGGGCAATATCTTGCGGAACCCTGCAGGTCACTTTGTTTTGATGAATCATAGTAACATGACACGTGACGCCTGTATGAAGACACGTTACAAACACGTGCCTGTTGTGGGTGGGAGAGTGGGGTCAGCACGCTCTCCAGTACTGTGTCTCGTGACCCCACTTCCACTGAGCTGGACGAAAGCTCCCACATTTAACACATCTTTCTCAAAGGAAAGTAATTATGTAGATCCTGAACGGTTCTGACGATGGTGTATAACATACAGAATTACTGGGAGTTTTGGACTTTATCCGTCGCCCGAGGTCCTAGAAAATAGAAAACAAATCGTTTCGGAACCTGGATCTCTTTCCGTCCTCAGGTGAAGGGACGAAGACACCTACTCAGTTGGGTCCCTTCGAAAGAGCTCATCTCAATCACTGGTCAACCATCGTAAGATTTACACAGTTATTTAATCGGGTTTGTAGCATAAATTTCTACCTCCTTTTCTAACCCAGCTCCACGCATGTGCGTGCTCTATCACAATTTTATTGCATATTTTCTTGTTATCTCCATCCCAATTAGCTTGGTCTCAGGCGATTAAATAGCTGTGTAATTCTGACAGGGATTGTCCAGTGATTGAGTTGTGCTCTTTCTAAGGGCCCCCATACACACAGTTTGGCCTCCAGTTCGGCCTGCACAGTTAAAGACTGAAAGGCAAAACTGACGCGTGTGGTGCGGCCGGCCGGCCAATCGTTTGGACTGTTGGCCTGTAGGAAACCCGTCAGTCCGTCAGTTCTACCTGCAGGACCGTAGCACGTGACGTGTGTGACTCAACATTATAGGCTGGAAGACCGTGACTGTGGCATAAAGCCTGCCGGTGTATGGGGAGGAAAGGGAAGGGGTAAACTGTGAAAGTTTTGCCTGTAAGGTCGATCGGATGGCCAAACTGTGTGTGTATGGGGGGCCTAACGGGACCAACTGAGTAGGTGCCTTCCTCCTTTCACCTGAGGACAGAAACAGATCCAGTTTCCGAAACGTTTTGTTTTCTATTGTCTAGAATATCGGACGATGGGAAAAGTAAAAAAAAAAAAACAAAAAAAAACAGTTATTCTGAAAGTAATCGTGTTTTTCGCACGTTGCCTGTTCCAGGCGCTCGTGGGCGGAAACTTCGCATGGACGAACACGAGTGGGAACCGAATACCGCGTGACGCCGTGGCTGCTGGGGAGACCGCAACCAAAGAGAAACTGTACGTGGGCAGAGTGGTGCATGATGGCACTCTGACCATTGGCAAGGTGAGGAGGCTGTGACGTGGCCACACAGGCCCTCATGCTTAAAGGTTCTGAATCCTGAAGTTAATTTCTTAAAACTGGATCGCAGGATGTGTACTTGTACATAGGTTATACGTAGATCTAGCTCAGTCGCTGTTGCGATGAGCTACGGGTTGGATGGCCAGAGATCGATTCCCAATAGGAGAAAGACAAAATTCATGAACTTTGCAAGGAAAAGTAGGGAAAAGAAACATTAGATACGTGTATAGAGGAAAATATGACTTTAAGAGAAGTTACCAACCTAGAACTAACTTAGTGAAGGATGAGAATGGTGATCTGCTGGCAGATTTCCACATTTAGAACAGATGTAAGAACTACTTCTTTAAGCTATTGAATGTACATAGGATCAGTGATGTTAGGCAGATAGAAATACATACAGCTGAGCCGCTAGTACCTGATCCTAAGCCTTTTGATGTTAAAATTGCTATTGCAAAATTGAAACAGTATAAAGAGCCAAGTAGTGATCAAATTTCGACAGAACTTATTCAAGCAAGAAGTAGAATATTATATTATAAATTTTATAAGCTAATTACTTCTATTTGCCATAAGGAAAAATTGCCTCATCAGTGGAGGGAGTCTATTATTGTACCAGTTCACAAGAAGGGTGATAAGACTGACTGTAGTAATTATCGGGGAATATCACTGCTATCAACTTCATATAAAATTTTGTCCAATATTCTTCTCTCAAGGTTAAGTCCATATATAGATGAAATTATTGGGGATCATCAGTTTTGGTTTCGACGTAACAGATCAACCACAGACCAGATATTTTGCATTCATCAGATATTGGAGAAAAGATGGGAGTACGATGATATAGTACATCAGCTATTCATAGACTTCAAGAAAGCCTATGATTCAGTTAGGAGGGAAGTATTGTACAATATTCTGATAGAGTTGGGGGTACCCATGAAACTAGTCAGGCTGATTAAAATGTGTTGAAATGAAACTTATGGTAACGTCCGTATAGGAAAATATTTTTCTGATAAATATCCTATCCAGAATGGTCTGAAGAAAGGAGATGCTTTACCGTCACTTCTTTTCAACTTTGCTGTAGAATATGCCATTAGGAAGGTCCAAGGAAACCAGGTGGGGCTGAAATTAAATGGGACACATCAGCTGTTGGTCTACGCCGAAGATGTGAATCTACTGGGTGATGATGTAGATACCATAAAGAAAAACATACAAACTTTAATTGATGCAAGTAAAGAGGTTGGTCTAGAAGTAAACACAGAGAAAACTAAGTATATGTTACTGTCTCGTCAACAAAATGCAGGGCAAATTCATAATATAAAGAGAGGTAACAGATGTTTTGAAAACGTGATACAGTTCAGATATTTGGGAACGGCGATAAGAAATCAAAACCTGATTCAGGAGGAAATCAAGAGGCGATTGAACTCCGGTAATGCTTGCTACCATTCAGTCCAGAGCCTTTTGTTTTCTCGTCTGCTGTCTAAAAACATAAAAATTAGAATATACAAAACTACAATTTTGCCTATGGTTCTGTATGGGTGTGTAGCTTGGCTCTGACATTAAGGCAGGAACATAGACTGAGGGTGTTTGAGAACAGGGTGTTGAGGAGAATATTTTGACCCAAGAGAGATGAAACGACAGGAGGTTGGAGAAAACTGAATAATGAGGAGCTTCATGACTTGTAATCTTCGCCAAGTATAATTAGAATGATCAAGTCAAGGAGGCTGAGGTGAGCAGGGCATGTAGCACGAATGGGAGAAGAGGAATGCATATAAGATATTGCTGAAAATCCAGAAGGAAAGAGGCCACTGGGAAGACCAAAACGTAGGTGGGTGGACAATATTGAAATGGCACTTAGAGAGATAGGACGGGATGGTATGGATTGGATTGAAGTGGCTCATAATATTGACCAATTGAGGGCTCTTGTGAACACGGTAATGAACCTCCATGATCCATAAAATGATGCCAGTTCTTAAGTTTTACTAGCTGCACAATTGACGGCTTGACAAGAAGGGCTCAACTCCATGAGTGAGTGTACGTCATGGCTCGAGTTTTAGAGCCATACAAGCCACTCCTTATTGCCATCGGTTTCTGGGATTTCTTATGAGTTGTTGTTGTCTTATTTTTCAAAGCTCGAAAACTAAAGACTTGACCTGAAGCCCAAAATGCTTAAAAAAGATACCAATTAGGCAGTCAAAGAGAAGTTTTTGCCAGAGATGTGCATCAAACAACAAAACAAACCAGAATCTATTTGCTACTTCGAGTATTAATTGCAAATAAGAGTAGATCTGTTTATGCCAGGAGCACCTGCGGTAATACACGTCAGTTTTACACAAATAATTTTTGAATTTCCAATATCAACTTTTTCGCATACGCCGAGAATCAGACCAACGCTTCTAGACAGGAGTGCCTGAGAAATATTCTCTTGACACAAAGTTATCTCTGGACTTAATTCGCAAGCATTACATCATGAAACCTTTTGAGGTGTAGCTCCACTTTCCTCAACATCAGCACTCGATGGAGGTGAGTAGTCAGATTCACACCCCTGTAGCCTTTTTTTTTTAAATTCACTTATTGGGGGGTGGAGTCCAGCTGGGCACACTCGGCACGTCGGCCACTCATTGGCCTATTGTACCTGCCCAGGGTGATTATGATGATGGAGAATTTGGTGGAATGAAGATTGGCAGGGGAAACCGAAGTACTCTTAGAAAACTCGCCCCAGCGCCACTTTGTCCACCACAAATCGCATTTGACCAGACCCGGGTTTGAATCCGTGACGCCGCGGTGGGAAGCCAGCGACTAGCCGCTTGAGCTATGGTGCGGCCATCTCCTGCAGCCCTACTCCAGGGGAAAGAAGCCCTGACACTGAGCTACTGACACAGTCATAAATCGTCCTGTGTCTGCAATGGAGTTTGTCGCCTGAACATTACCGTGACTTATGTTGTCTATCCCCACTAGAAAACAAATTTCTTCTTCATTTTCGCAGTCCACACGTAAGTTTTGTCTTCTCTGTCAAAGCTTTTAGGAAGCCCTTCGTTAATGTTCTCAGCATTGCTATTGATTATGAGCAAAATTTCTATATTAACATAAAGGGCAAAATCATATACATGCCTGACAGCGATGGTTATTAAGAGTACTATCTTCTGAGAACTGAAGCCTTATAGTAGCTCTGTTTGCCTCTCACCTTCACGTTCAGCTTCTTCGTTCCTGAAGATGGAGGCGAAATGTTCCACAGATACCTCGGTTGGCTCTCAACTGACTACAAGGCGTTATTTCCCAGACAACAGTACTCTTCATTTACATACTCCCTCTAGATATTTCGACTAGTATTGACTCAGAGGCCATAAGTTGTTCTCATATAAAATCTCTCTTACGCTTGTTGTCTTTATATGCATGATGTGAATCACTGTTCATAACAATATGCACTTAATCACTGTACTTCCAAATAATTGCGTTTACTTTCAGAGTAAGTAGTACTTCTCTCTAGAACTGGGTATGAGGATCTCCCTTATAATAATATTCATCATTGAAAGGTTAGCATTCCTGTTTTGAATTCGGGAGATACTGAGTTCGGATCTAAGATCCTAGTAACAGTTCTACTGACTGTTTTTCATTGTCTTCCTCAGTTCCTCCAGGCAAATATCAGGATGGTAGGCCTACCGAAAATTAGCTTACTCTCAAAACAAAAACAAATTCCTTGGCCTGTAGTTCGCAAGCAAACTATACCGACCGAGCGACCGCCTTTTGTCGGCGAAGTTAGCGCCAACTTTAGTGGACAGAGGGTGTCGGGTGGTCAGCGCAACGTATCCCCACGGCCGTTAACCTCAGTTTTCTGTACCTGAGCCGCTATTTCCTTCAAATAATTCATCTATTATCCTCACGAGGCCGACTGGACCCCGTCCCAGACCCATTACTTCTCAGAAAGTCTGGGAGCACCGGTAATCGAACTCGGGGCCTCTGGATCTCTAACCAGGAGCTATGACCACTAGACCAGAGAACGGTCGGGCTGTTCTAGTTAGTGTGTGTGTTTTTAATTTTGAGTTGTTTTCTTTCGAGATTAGGCTACTCTCAGTTCCTCGTAATATCCAATCTAATAAATTGTATCACAATTAGAAAATAAGAAACAAACTTAAAAGGAAAAAGAAACACGCACTAGAACAGCCCGACCGTTCCTGAAATTGGACGTAATATTGACAGTGAGTGTGTCGCTATGGAACACGAAAGTGAGTGAGATGAGAACTGTGGGGTTTCAGGTGCACCCTAGTCATGGCGTGTGCTACATCCCCTACGACGGGAAGGAGCTGTCCTTCCAGGTTTACGACATCCTCGTGTCCAAGTAGTGAGGGAAGCACAATCATGTTCCGCCATACATGGGACGTCTGTTGCTACTCTGATGTGGTGGGTCATGGTCATACGGGAAGTGTGAGATCCCGGCTGGTTCTGGTGTACAGCGGCAGTCGTACTGTTCCTGTTGGGTTTCAAACACATCGTGTCTCACGGTTAGAACATTTTGTGACTGATGCAACGTCGTTAAATATACAGAGAAGGATATACAGTATATTATAACCTGAATGCTGTTGGTCCAAATGTACTGTACTGTTTTCACATATTTGTTATTTACAGCACTATGTCAATATGTTCTTTGTGTATATATGTATTCATGATGGGAATCTTAGCGAAGAAGTACATGAGCAAGTTAACAGCAGTCCTTCTGTTTAAATAATATTAGAAATACATGTACATGTTACTGCAATAACTTGAGAACTCTCTTTGCCATCACACAATTTCAGGTTACCATAGCAATGAACTGTAGAGCTTTTAACATATTGGTTCAACGTAAATCATGTAAGAGGGCACGAACGAGCGAGCGGCGTTTATTGCAGCGCATGTTGCCTATGCTGTAAGTACTGACAGTATTGTGAAGTGGAGAGTGCTGTTTAAATTAAAGTGTCTGCGATTGACTCTTTGTGCTTGTGGGACATGACTTCAAAAGCCAGCCTCGACGCATCATTCGATAACATGTAGGATTGGAAAGGAGTTTAGGAGAAAATAAGGGATGTTAATAATTGAAGACATTGTTTTTAAACAAAGATAATCAATCCCGTCGAATTCTCAGCGGACGCTGTACTGGTTTCGTATGAAGGAAACATATGAATACTTAAAGTAATTCCTATCAAAAATAGCCCCTGTAGTTAATTTTGGCGTTATGACAATGATCAACTTCATGGTGTTAGTGATTGCATTCAGTGCGACTCTTCACAAGTTGGCCAGATGTCTGCTTATCCGCTAGCCGAAATATTTGTCCGCGCCATAGCTCAGGCAGTTAGTCGCCGGCCTCCCACCGCTGCGGCCCGGGTTCGAGCCCGGGTCAGGGCATGTGGGATTTGTGGTGGAGAAAGTGACGCTGCGGCAGGTTTTCGCCGAGTATTTCGGTTTCCCCTGCCAATCTTCATTCCACCAATTGCTCCACAATCACCCTCATCTAACGTCTGGGGCTATTACAATAGGCCGGTAGTGGCCGTAGTACAGAGTGGACTCAGTCTCAGCCCACTAAAAATAATGAAGGAAATGCCAAACGCTTGGCAGAAGATACGCTTACAAACTCTTGCCAACCGACAGGCTTGCTGCTATTGGTTCAGGGTTCAGTTTCGGTTAAGGACATAAAAGTCTTCATATAATTATACGCAGGAGAATCGTATAACATAAAAAATGCAAACAATATGACAGGGAGAGGGGTAAGGAAGTTTGAGCCCCCAAGCGAATTATACCGACCGAGCGACCGCCGCTTATCGGCGGAGTTAGTGTCAACTTCAGCGGATACAGAGTGTCGCGTGGTCAGACAAAGAAAATTTCGATTGTCTAGTCTTGAGCCGCTATTTCCTTGAAATAGCTCATCAATTATCCTCACGAGGCTGAGCGGACCCCGTTCCAGACCCACTACTTCTCAGAAAATCTGATAGCGCCGGAAATCAAACGCGGGACCTCTGAATTTGTAGTCAGGAACTCTGACCACTAGATTACAGAGGCGGTCGGCACAGAGTTTATTATTATTATTATTATTTATATCATCATCATTATCTCATCTGTTGGCCGATCAATGATCAGCTAAGGGACGAGGCCAATTTGTCAGGTGTTATCACGTCATAGCCACAGGAGGAACTTCTTGTGACAGAGGTCTACTTGCTCTGTTGCATAGCTTTTACTGCATTACCAATAGTACCTCCGCTATGCTACTCTTTATACAAGAGTGAATTGTAATTTTTAAAATAATATTGCGCGATTCTGTCACTGATAACACGAAACTGCTGTAACATTCATATCCTACACAGATGTGGAGAGGAAATGAGCCAATCGGGCTAATACTTGTAGTTGTCTATACGTACTGTATTTGGAGACTTAAGAAAACCTATGGTTGGGACTGGAGCAGGGCAAATCCTCGTTCAACCTCGTGGATGTGTGTTTGTTAACCGGAAAGTTATGTGATACGATTTCAAGCGGGTGCACTTTCACCGCAAGAAATAAGCACATTAAGTTACTCAGCCTTTCCTAACCCACAAAACCAGAGTCGCAATGTGCAAAATATGAAGGTGACTGTAAACATTTGCATATTCTTGTTATAAATAAATGAGATTAGTTAGTTAGTTATTTAAAGAGGGTGGGCCTCCCCACGCACCGCGACCAGTTTGATCTATTGTGCTTCCCTCTATGATATTCTACCAGTCTCTATATCCTACCGGTACTGGTGCTTACCATCAGTCCCGCCCAGCCAGCGAGACCGGCTCTACTAGCTGAGAGGTATCTATAATGCTTCGCCCATCTACCAGAGGTATTAGAGAATGCTGTTGGGCGGGAAACGTCCGTAATTTTGGCTCAGTGACCTCCTTTGGAGATATGAGGTTCTTTTACGTGCCGTAAAGCTACGACACGGGACCCACGGTTTAAAGTCCCTCCCGGAGGACTTGTTCCCTGAATTTTTCCGCCCTTAAAATTTCGAATACCTCCGCCGGGTATTTGAACTAAATGAGATTATGAACCACAATAATGTTTATTTCACATTAAATATTATCTATTGTATTCACCGAGACCGCCTCTATGGTCTAGTGGTCAAAGTTCTTGGCTACAGATCCAGAGGTCCGGGTTCGATTCCGGCGCTACCAGATTTTCTGAGAAGTAGTGGGTCTGGAATGGGGTCCACTAAGCCTCGTGAGGATTATTGAAGAGATATTTCAAGGAAATAGCGGCTCCGGCCTAGAAAAACGAGATTAACGTCCGTGGGGATTCATTGCGCTGACCACGCAACACCCTCTATGCGCAAAAGTTGCACTAACTTCGCCGACATCGGCGGTCGTTCGGTCGGTATAGTTCGCTTGCGGACTACAGGCCACGGGGTTTGTATTCACAGATGGCCAAATGGGAAGCGAGCGAGTCGCGGATGACGGCCTAGACTCGTCAACAGTGAACATTTTTCTGGGCGAGTATTGAACTCTGGGATGAACAAAGACGTAATAACCAGTTAACACGGCGCTCTATGGAGGCTTAGCATGAAAATAGTATCAACATACGAGGGTAAGTCAGAAATTATTCGCACTTTCTCCATAACACAGCTTTAGGTTTGTCACACTGCCTCCTACGCATGCATTGTTAGAGTTGGTACTACTGTGGTCACGTGTTCGAAGTTTTACCTTGATCGCATCATTTTCCTTGATGCTGTGACAGTGTAAACGTGGCCGCTCTGCTAGCAGTGTGCACTTTTGGCTATATGGATTGGAAAAACAAGAGTGCGGATAAGTTTTGACTTCCCTACGTAACAACGAAAAACGCTGGAAGGGACAACGTTGAAGGAGGGCTTGCTGTCCTGTAGTACATCCACGGTAAACTTGTAGGAAAACTAACCAGAAACAGTACCACTTTCAGGAGTTGTCTGGAGCAGGTATTGACAAACAGTGGTCACAGAACGACAGGACGAGGGCCGGGGAAGTACCTCTGACAGCAGTTCACACAGTTCACGTAATCAATATTACTTTGAATCAAATTGGACAGGTAATGAAACTATACAGACCGTCGTGTGATTGTGGACTGTGCATGTGACTTGCTGCTCTGTTTTGCTCCTTAGCTTAGAGACAAGCGTTCTTCTGATGCAGTTCCTGGTCGGAATAGTTTCAAACAAGAGGAGTTTTAAGAGTGGATTTCAATTTCGCTTCAGAATACACCATCTGAAGGGTCATTAGCAGACAGCAACGAGCGACTGGAGTTGAACGGAGCACCTAAGCTTACAATACCTGCCGGAGATGTTAATTTCATGGGCGAGAATGTGAACGCCGCAGAAAATAAAGCTCCACTAGACACTGTCATTAAGATTGATGTATTGTTTTATTGATAGTGGGGTGGGACTATGTCCCTTGTACTGTGGCCGCTTCTGGTCTGTTGTACCAGCCCCAGATGATAGGTGAGGGTGATTGTGGAGCAATTGGTGGAATGAAGATTGGCAGGGGAAACCGAAGTACTGGGAGAAAAACCTGCCACATAGCCACTTTGTCCACCATGAATCCCACTTGACCAGACCTGGGATCGAACCCGGGCCGCCGATGTGGGAAGCCAGTGACTAACCGCTTGAGCTATGGCGTGGCCTGTAAGGAGCAGTGTTTGAACACTAAATTGAAGAAAATCTTGGATCAGGGAAATTTAACACTGTAATTAATGTCTTGTGATCATTGAAATGATACGACAAATGCAAGGACACCTCAAAGCAAGGAACGTTAAATGGGGGTTCAACTGATTATGATTAGCTTACAAACTGATGACATGTAATGTTACAAATATTATGTTTCTGGACATTATCCAGGATTCTGTTTTTATTTAAAACAACATTTCAGAGACTGGATTGTGTTTCTGTCTTCAGGTAAACCCTACTCAGTTGGGCCCAATTGACAAGAACTAGTCCCTGTCTCCGGACCAAGATTCATGTAGATATAAACCCAAAGGATATAACTCGGTGTTTACATATTTCTGTTTCGTTACTAGAATGAAGGACAAGATCATAATATTGTGACATGATGCCTGAAATCTGGAATAGTCCATTGCTACACAACGATTCCCTAGGCAAAGGATGAACACAGAATAACAGAGGAAACCTTCAAGGTGGTGATGGGGTATACGTAATTGTTTCGGAGTTCAGTACAGTTACAAGTGAGCCATGATTCTCCAGTTAGTAACAAGAGAATTCAGAAGGGAGTTTAATTGTTGGATATTCAGCTGTGGAGTGCTAACTAGCGGACACTGGAAGCTGAAGAAGTGACCGATTCGTAAATCAGAGCCAAGTCAGTCACAGTGGAAGAGAAGACACTCGTAGTCCAGTAAGGAATGGAGCGAGTCTTAGAGAGACGTCGATTGTGAGCTGTTATAATTGGTTGGGATTAAGAGTAACTGTAAAAGAAGGCGCCAGTGAAAGTAATCATCAAATCCAGAACCCGTTACTATTAGTTACATTATCCCGGGAACGTGACATTATCGAAGGTATGAAGACTTCTATTAAGTTTATGTGGGTGCGGGGGGTGGGGGTTCAGATAGGCCTATTTGCAAACGAAGAAAATTAAATTGTATTCACGGGGAGGCTAAGAGCAGATTCGGTTTTGAGAATGCTTGTTAACATTAATCCGGAATCATTCATCTTCCCGACGACTATTCAAATACCTGAAGATTAAAACGGCCTGTCACGGTAGCCGAGCGGTTTAAGGCATGCATATCTTCGCTCGCTCGTAAACCGAGATCGTGGGTTCGAATCCTGTTCAGGGCATGGATGTCTGTGTGCGTTTTTCTGTGTTTATGTACAGGTAGAGGCCTTACGACAAGCTGATCACTCGGCCAAGAAGTGTGTAAGATGTGTAAGATCTAGAAAAACCGAAGTGAACGTAGAGTTTCATGGAGGTAGGCCTAGGCCCAAATTGGGGCTGTAGTGCCACAG